TGATGGGCAGATACATACCAATCCGGCCCTGAGTATAAATATATTAAATAAATACCATTATATTACGATTATCATTTATTACAGTGTGGATGAAACCATGTATTCAACATTTTAGTTAAAAATAGAACTTATGTTCGCAGTTCTTTTTACAAGAAATGAATAATTAAAAAAGTCGCTCTGCTGTAGGTACTGCAGTAGGTTACAAGTGGCCAGTGGGTCACTGTATAATGGATGGTATTAAATTTGAATTCAATGATATAATATCATTGTATAAGAAAAACGATTCTGAGTGGAGACGGTATGTGTCAGTCTACAGGCGTGGATTTAGGAGGGGGGCTATGGGTGCTCGGGCACCCCCTGTCGTCTAAGGCACTCTATGTACGACTCTAAACCACTTATAAAGTACATTTGTATTCAAAATTCTAAAATAGTAACCATTTTTTTTGGGCATGTACCAGTGGCTGCATACGAATTGCATGCCAAAAAAAAAAAATGTCCAAATTGCATGCCATCTCTTGGAGGGGTCTGTCCGAATTGCATGCCATCTCTTAGAGGGCTTTGTCCGGATTCCATGCCGTACACCACACGTTTATTTACTATGCACTTAAACAACTTAAACTTTTTTTTGGACTTTCCTAATTTTTTTAAAAAAATGCATGTATAGAAACGCTCTTTTATGTATGGTTGTTACAACTGTTTAGTGATTAGTTTCTGGATTGAAATATTTTTATATCCGTGTAAATATTTTCCCAAACAGTATCTATATTGGAGTAATGTAGTGTATTGTGGTCTCGGTCTGTTTCACAACAGATTAATAATATTTTATTATTATGAATTATTATTATATATTATTTTGTTTATTTAAATTGTAATATTGTGTGCCTGAAATGTCAAAAAAACCACCAAATTTAAAAATAATATTATTTAAAATACACTCACTTGATTACCCTAAACTACAATAGTTTTATTTAACTAATGGCCTTTGTTGTCGATGAAAAAAAAATAGTTTTATATTCTTATGATTCTTATTCACAGTGTCACCTTCTACAATATTTATATGTTTTATTGTAATGTAACAAAATCCCGATCCTCCAGTTGAAAAGTGAGTTGTGTATTCGGATATACCCCTTTAAGAGATGGCATGCAATTCGGACAGACCCCTTCAAGAGACGGCATGCAATTCGGACTACCCGATTTATATTTATTTTTTTGGCATGCAATTCGCATGCACCGGTACCAGTTGCCCCCAAAAGTACCTTTTTTTATACCGATTCCCCCCCCCCCCACCTAGAGAAAAATGTACCAGTTGCCCTCAACCAAATGTACCAGTTGCCCCCAACCAAATGTACCAGTTGCCCTCATATGTAAATATATCATTATTCTTTCTTAGTTTTATACTATTTTTTGTTGAACAATTATTACATTGAATGTCACATAATTATAATATTTATTATTTTATTGACTATTGTATTCATATTATTTTGTTAGTAATTATTATTTATCACAAAATACAATATTAGGTATATATTCTTATATTCCAAGCATATGAATTTTTTTCTATTATTTTAAATAATTTTATTTATTATTTGTATATTTACCTCCCCTATTATGTGACTAAAGATTTTTAATATTTTTCAAATGTCATTGTAGCAATATATTAGGAGCCTTGCATTAAATTTTCAAGTATTTTTACAAAACAAATAAAGTTTTATTGACATTCATAGAAAAAAAACTAATAAAATTGGAAACTGAAAATCTTCCTAAATAGTTCATAACAAATCAAAATATTTTGAAAATTTTATCGTGTATAGAAAATGGAAATATAAACAACCAGTGAAAATTCCATGTATATAATACGTTCATTTGTTTTAGAGTTACACCAAAAACCAAAATCGATTTTGTGGAAAACCGATTTTGAGTAAAAATTCCCGTTTTTCTTTAATTTTAATAAATCCCGGTGCTTTTGAAAACTATTGGGAATTTTAATATTTGACCCCCCGAATGCACCAACTAGATTCACTTTCCAATCGAACAAGAAACTGTTGAAGAAAATCGAAGCAGTTTTACTGTCTCAAACCGTGATGACAAAAAAAAAAAAAGAAAAAGAAAAAAACACATTGTAAAATCAATACATTCATCCTTCCACTCAGAATCTAAAATAAGTAGTTAATAGTTTTAATACTATAATAGTAGGTACCTACTTAGTACTTACAATAGGAGATAACATGTACTAATTAGTAATTACTATCAGTGCCGTAACTAGAACTATATGGGCCCCGGTGCAAATTTAACCTGTGGGCCCATTACATAGGCTAACATTGGTTTAATGTAGGGGTTGCTGGAATAATTAATGGTACACAGATCCATGGGGGATCCCCCACAGTCCACACCATCTTAATAATATAATAAACTGCATTGCAATAATTTTAAATATTTACTTATTAATGTTCTTACTTGTTAATTATAATAGAAATATACCTAATGAATTAAAACTTTAATTAATTATACTTCAATACTTATAGGTATAGAGTATAGACAAATTAATAACTCATGATAAAGTTGAAATTATATAAATGTTAATAATATAACAGCTACTCTTTATATTAACTATTAAGCAACTATACTGTACCTACATAATGTATTACGTATTAAAAATATTTAAAAACAATTATATTATAATATGTTAAAATATGGTGCTAATTTGAAGCCTGGAGGTGCTATCGTGCTAAGCACCCCCTAGCACTGTACTGTGTGCGCATATGGTCCATTATTTTCTATTAATATTTAATTTAAACAATTATAAGGAAGCAATATAAATCAGTCATCAGTATATAATTTTTTGTATTAATTTTAACAGAAACATTTTTTTTTCTGGATTTATCATTAGTGAAATGGTCAATTTTTTTTTCTCCAACTAATTCATCAATTCTACTTCTTTCTATATTGAGAATAGCAATATTACTAAGTTTATTTTGAGACATTCAGTTTCTTGCAACATTTTTAATGAGTTTCAATATTGAAAATAACTTCTCAGCCTAGGCCACAGTTACCGGAATCGTAAGAAATATTAAACATGCAGTTCACAAATCTGGAAAGCTACAAGCCATGTCATTTTGAATAATTAAATTTATTAAGTCCCTGATATCATATTGTACTGGACCAATTAGTGTTTTAATTTATAAAACTTGTCTGGTAAAGTCTGAATTGATTTATTGATATCAGATTTATATTTTAATACAAAATCATACGTGGACTTGTATATGCTTGATTTCATGGAAATTTTTTTTTGATTAAAAAAAAAAAATGTTATTAGTATTTAGGTTCTTAATTCTTATATTGGTTTATTTAAGTATGAGCCTCATATAGAAATTGAAACATTGGACCCCGGTGCAATGAACCGCCCGTACCACGGTTTCTACAGCACTGATTACTATACAATAGGTAATCTACTTAAACATATGAGTTATTTTCAGTTTTTATTTTTTTGTTATTATAGATATCACTACATCAGTTGCATTTCTAAATTTATGCACTTCTTTATTTTTTATATAAGCAAGTGTAATTATATCATTTTAATTATTAAAATAATTTCAAAATTTACTATAAAACCCTGTATATATTTTATACCTAATCAACTATAGCTAATTGATAATTTTGTCCATTACTCATTTAAATTTGTAATGTTGGGTTGGTTTTTGCCTTACAAACGTATGTCTAACAATTTTTTAATGTTGATAATAACAAAGTTTAGTAGCAGTAGTGAGCACTGTTTGGTGTACCAAAAATCTTTATCCAAAATGATTATTCCCAGAAATAAAATTTTTTATTAATTTGTATTGTATCATTAAGTAGTTTAAGCTGTTACTCTTCTACGGTATTTTCGTTTTCGTTATACCTATTTACTTATATTTAAAAGTGAGCTTTTGAGTATTTAAAATTGTGAATAATTATATAAAAGAAGTAACAAAGAGGCAGATTTATTTAAAATGTTTTATTATTATTAAGTTGTAAAACAGTTCTAGGATTAAACTGTTATTTAGTAAATAAAATAACAATAATAATTTATTTATTTCAGTCAAGTTAGATTTACAGTTACTTACTGAACTTATTTTTTAAGATAGTAATTTTGGACTTGTTTACCACTGGGTAAAACCCCTTGTTGGTGAATACTGTACAATGTGCAAACGAATAATAATATTGAATTGTTATTCATATGCACGTTACAACTAAAACAGTTTATATATCAAAGACAATTTCTAAGAGCCCAGTTGTAGATTTTACTGTATCCTGGTTTGATAAATTGTATAAATTGTATAAATAATATTTTAGTTAGATTTTCAATGGCATTAATCACTTTCAAGAAAACAAAATAATAACGTCTTATTCATATAATGTAGTCAAAGGATAAATAAAATATGATTTATTAACGAAACTTATTGAATATATTAACACCATTAACGGATGTAGGTAAACTTGATTATATGAGTTTCTGAAGATAGTATGCTGTTTATGAGACTTATATTTAAACCATCTGTGGTTCACTTAAATAAAATGTATGAAGCAAGTAATCCAATTTTATTGGTGGTCTAATCTAAATTTTTAAATTAAAATTCTATGTTTTTGTATTAAAAGGTATTATGTTAAAATCATTAACTGTTCTGATATTTTCTGATCAAATACCAACTTAGTTAGTAGTTTATAAATTATAAAAATAATGTCAGATCAATATTTTCGAAATTACCAACAGATTAAACTATTAAAGAAAATAATAATATATTTGAGTTTTGTTGTAATCTTAATAGGATGACAACCTTCAACAAACACAACTTTTACAAAATTAAATTAAGATATAGTTTCAGTTTTGTTACAGAGTCAACAATTTACAGGGACCTATTATTAGTTGGACTTTTTTGATATAAAAAAAAAATTGTCTCATGACAATTATATAAATGCCAATAAACAGCAACAATTAACAACTACAATCATAGTGTTCAGTTGTTTTATAATGTGCTGGTCGTACTGTTCTCCCACTGTAAATCTGACCATTGACTTGAACAAGAGCAACGACAATTGCTATTTGAACTTGATGTGGCCTCTATTAGTTCGTGTTCCTGTACAGACTTGTTGATCCGTGTGTCCAACAACATGACATTCATGGTTTCTTCAAGTATACGTGTCTCTGGAAAATCGACCTATAATAAATCAACAGGTGTTTGTACATCTTATGTGAGCTGAAAATATGAGAAAACAATAATATTAATACTAACCTTTGTGTGTTTTTTGTCTGTAGCGTACACTATCGAAGTGCAACACACTTCAGCAACTTTTTTTACTGCTCCCCCGGGACCATAAAACGTCCAACAGCAGATTTCATTTGATCCAATGACGTCTTTAATGAACAGACCGCGCTCTTTATGCTTTTCCGCCAGTTTATCGAACAGCTCAATGTTTTTTAACAGATTATCGTCTGATGCCCTGTTGTATAACAAACTCATCATAATCATTCTTGTGGTTTGTTAATAAAATGTAGTAACGCACAAACATACCCTGTATACGAATATTTGTTGTTGTGACGGTTAATCGCAAACTTCACCACCGGCTAGTTGAAAAAAGATTCAAAACCACGCGGGTTAAATGTAAGTGTTCGGTATCTACATATTTTTTTTTAACAATCGAAATGAAACAAATACCTTTGACGATACGGATATCAATTTCTGGGCTTCGTTCTGGGACGTTATCAATGTGACCCACGTTATGTTTGTGTTGCGGTTTCTTTTCTTCTGCAACGCCTGCTCACATGCCTCGTGCAACTCCGTAACGCCGTAATACTTGGTTTCGGCCAGTATCTCGGATATCTCCACGCACGTTTCGGGCAACGGTACGGTCCCGTCTCGCAGGAAGTTGAGTATGGTGCCGAAGTGTTTGCCACAACGATCGATAAACACCCATCCTGTCGGTGGAAAAAAAATAAAAACTAAATCGGTGACGGCCATTGGCACGGTGAATTGCACACATAGTAATATCGTAAGTGATAATCAGACATACAACGACGACCGCCATCATAGATAGGTACCTTCGGATTCCAACGTTTCAGCATTTTGGGCAGCTTCCGACAGAACCATATCGCGTAGCTTCGAGTCAAGTTTCGAGAGCGTCGTCACAGTCGTGTAGAACAACGACCCGCCGATGTTCAACTTGACATAATTGGAGATTTCCGATTTCGGTTCGTTTGCCGCCGTAGCACCCATCGTAACTCGAACACACACGGTAAGCGCGGCCTAACTATAATATTATAATATTTGTTAATATTATGTTATTTCACTTTATTTTACGAAAAAGTTTATTGTTTACTTCATTTTTATAGTTTGTTATTATTATTATTATTTGTTCTTATCAGCTTCATGATAACTGATAAGAGCATTTTGACCATGGACATTGACGTTCCAGTAAGCACAACAGGCAACAGACACGGAGATCACTGAGTAATGACTAATTTTAGGGTAAAGTGGTCCGGTAAAGTATACAAAGTATAACGGTACTTACTACTTATACAAAGCCAGAAGCCTTTCAATAAGTCCATGGGCAGTGTTGGGTAAGTTACTTTTAAAAAGTAATTAAGTTACTTTACTCGTTACTAAAATAAAATTACTTTACTTTTCAAATATAAAAGTAACTCATTACTTACTCGTTACAAAAAAAAAATAATTTAAATTTCTTTGCAATTATCTTCTGCAGGCAAATTGAACAAGCAAATTCTTTATAAAACCTGTATATAGTTAAGACTTAAGAGGATCCTGGATCGTATAAAACTAGTCTTCCACACAAGCTATTTAAAACCTATTTAAAGGAATCAAATTAAATAATAAATTTAATTAACGTTCTCGTGATTTATGGTGCAATTAGACATTTCAAAGCTGAATTGTGGTGAGTTAAAATTAAATATATATACATATTAGATTGGAAACATAATAATACCCGCTTTATACATATATATTTTTTTTTCAATTCGCAATAGGTAGGTAGGTAGGTACTTAATAATTCGAAACTGTAATTCTTTATTCTATAGAAATTACTTTTCAAAAGTAATTTACATTACATTTTCGTTACTTGGATATAATTCTAATGAAATTACGTACCTAACGCGTTACTTTCGTTACGTTACTACCCAACACTGTCCATGGGTAAAGTGTCGGTTAAGAGGACGTTACACCGACATTGGTTGTCTCCGTCTTACAAGTGCGTAACATAGGAAATTGCACGGGAAAATACTTATTTAGCCATGGAAAATTGTAAGCTCAGCAGAACACGTTTAGCTCTGATAGCTTAAATTAAAGTGAATCGACCTCTTACAAAATGTAAAGGTAAGATTATTATGTAGGCAATCTCATGGGCTTTTTATTATATTTTAATTTTAAAGCGAGTCAAGAATATTTTAAAATTTAAAATTATTTGTATTAAAATTAAAATATTAAAATACTCATAATTCTGTTTAAAATTAAAATATTAAAATACTCATAATTCTGTTTAAAATTAAAATATAATTAAATGTCCGGCATAATTCTAGTTTAGCGCCCACACGAATTTTTCTTTTCGAAAAATCTATGTAGCTAATATGTACGAGTTATGAACGATGGTGCAAAAATTAATTGGTGATAATCATTAGTTTTTAAGTTACCTATAGCCTTATGAAGTTCACGATTTTATGCATGCCTACAACGCTTTAGTGTGCGGTAAACATTTTGAAATGAAAAAATTCCAAAAAATCGCTCTAGAGCCAAATTATTGCATTCGACCTAATTATTCGAATAATATCATATCATTCGAATATTTAATAAATCGTTCAAATTATATACAATTATTCGAAAAATCTTTTAAAAACTTTCGAATAACACTATATCGGATAAACTATCGAATTATTCGATAGTCGTCATTCGGTAGTTCCCGTCGCGGCATGTCGGCATCACTACAATTTAATGTTTAGTCTTGCACTCGTGTCTCGTGCTTTGCGATCGACGCACGCCGCTCGGTTAGAAAAATATTGTCAATTTGTTTTTTCAGTTCGCCGGCTCGACGTGTTCGAAGTGTCAAAACTTGAAACGTTGCTATCCTATTTCTATAGATAAATATTATATTAAAATAATTATTGGTTCACGCCACGGTTAATTTGCTGGTCGACAGGTACAATACAACAACAATTTTCTGTGTAACTACATACGCATTTTATATTTTAGACCTACATATTTTGTAAATTAGTCGGGCTACATTTTTTTGTTCACAATTTCTTTTTAGGACGATGTCTGACGATCCGGAGAGCTGCAGTAAAGTCTTGCCGATTAACACGGAAAACGTCTTCTCGATTTTGGGTGATTTAAATTTATTATTGTTAATATTGTAAAACATAAATATCCGGTCTTGTGGATAAATTATATTTACTATAAAATTGCAAACCAATATATACATTTCTAGAACAAATCTATAAATGTTATATGATCTGAAATATTACACAAAACAATAAACATTTTTGGTGAGCGCAACAGGCACGTTTTAGTTCGATGGGCACGTTAAATTAATTAAATATAATATTAACATTTTACAATAATACAATATTATATATCTTGCATTATATAGTATGATAGTATCATCATATTTTATTTTACTATTAAAATTATTAATTATTAATATTATTATAGCAATTTAAACATTAATATTTTTTTTTTTTTTTTTATTAAGAATAAGGCTTCGACAACGGTGGTCATTAGCCTGAAAAGGTTTACAATGGTAGATTAAGATTAGAAATATTTATAAAGTCTTATGTACATAGTAACATGAAAATTAAACAAAATGAGTAGATAAATAAAATAAAATAGTAGTGTTAAATAAAAAGGTAAAACAGTAGTATTTGCAGATTTTTATAATAGGTTGGATACTTTGATGGCATTAAAAAAGTTGAAGATGGCATCGGTGTTGGTTTCACCGAGTGCTTCTTCGATGTTGGAGGGGAAGTTTAAGATGCTTCGTTCATGGTTGTACTTGGTGCAGCTGAGTGTGAGATGTTCAATTGTCAGTGGTAGGTCACATTGATGGCAGGTTGGATGTTCATCATGGTTGAAAAGGAAAGAATGGGTGAGATGTGTGTGGCCAATTCTGGCTCTGGTTGTGACGATATCTGCTTTACGGGATTAATATTTTTTTTATACTGGAAATTTACTTTAGATCAGGGGCCTCCCTAGACAGTTTTCTAGGGGGAGGGGGTGAATCTATTTTTTAAATCAATAATTACCCTATGCGTATTTTTCAATAGTTTGGGCGAACTTAAGTCAATTTTACTGGCTTTATTTTTTTTTTTAATTCGACTACATTACAAATAAGTTTACGTAACAAAGTATTGTTTCATAAATTCACTATTTATAAATTCATTTATTACTTATTATCTTTATCTAAACAGTAATGGTTATCCATAGATATAATAATTATTATTTCTGTGGTGGTTAGTTTTTCTACTTAGGCATAACGGTAAATTAAAATGTTGATCAATTATTATTTTGTTGACATTGAGAGTAATTATTATGTACATTAAACATTGTTACGGGGGGGAACGCCCCCTCCCCTTTGGGGACGCGCATGCTTTAGATGTATTATGAACCAGTGGCGTATATAGGGGGTGGCCCTGGGGGGCTGTAGCCCTCCCCCCCGAAATTAGAGTTTTTTTTAAAATAAAACAACAATATATTTTATTAGGTACTATCATTACTCATAAGTTATAATATTTCATAGCCTGTTGAAAAATAACAAATACGAATATATTTATAGAAACTGTTAAATAAATAGTAGACAGTAGCCTCTAAGTAATAGATCACTTGATGGTTTCTATTTGCTATAGCCCACCCCAAAAATTATTACTATGTACGCCACTGTTATGAACCTGTTTTGTACCTTATGAATTTACTAAATATTATTTTAATAATAATTTTTTATAAACTTGTTGATTTGTTATGTTTTAGATTCTAATGAGTTAGTTATAATTATCTTCTACCTTCAATATGATTCAAAATATAATCAATTTGAATCGATAGTCAATGAAGCTGCTATGAAAGTGTTTGAACTTTATCCGGATACCGGTAAAGTTGTTTTCGGGAAATCATGTTGTAGCGAAAAATGTAAGTACAATAATAATTGTTTACGTATATTTAACATATTGTAATAGACTTTTTCGACCTAATCTACTAGGCATATAATATATATTAATATCTATACGACATAAGTACATTACGACTATACTTATTCATTACGCAAATACAAGTTATCTTATATAACGTATGTCTCATACGTAAATAATACAAATTTTTTAGGGATCTATTCAGGAAGATATGACTTGTATGTGCATGATCTGTACATAAAAGTGTTCATACACGGAAAGCTATCAAGAATTTATTTTAATGACTTAGACTATTCGTCAGTCGAGGAACTTGTGTCTTATGTTCAAAAACGACTCGACGGTTCCATACAAGAAATATCTAGTACCTGCAGTATTCCCGACAATCCTAAAGTAGAAAGTTCAACTATATAATCTATCAAAATGTCCATACTAATTATATAGCTATAACATTTTTACGTTTTATATATAAATGTAGGCACACTCGAAAGTTATAACTGGATATTTCAAAAATAAATATTCACCAGCTTATCAAACATTCAGAAAAGTATCAATGAACTTAATGGATATTTGTAGGTTTTACGCTGGATTCGGGTAAAACCCTATAAAATATTTTAATTTTTTTTTGTTTTTAACTACCTATTTATTTGTTTATAGAGAAAAATATACCACTATGTACTCTGATAACCAGAACGAATCCTTAATCATATTCAAGATTTCCAACCAACCATCTCCAGAATTTGAACAAGAAATATTTAGTGGCGATTCATCAGATTACGAATCACTCTATGCTTGGGGAACAAAAAGCTGCCTACAGTCAACGAGTGAAATTACATTTGATAATGCTATGGAATTGGAAATAGATCAACACATTTCTTTCATTCTTTTTTACAATCCAGATGATCTCAAACCTGTTAAACAGTTCAAGGATATTATTAAAAGAGATTTAGAAGAATGGCGTAGTATGTAGTAAAACGTTTTATACCTATTTATTTGAGTCTTACCTATACGACCCACTTACAATAGTAAATTGTTTTATTGCTGTTTCAGATAATTTAAAATTTTTTACTGCAGATGGTCAAACATTTTCTCCAAAATTACAACAAATTGGAAAAACTATAACTGATTTACCGTTTGTAATTTTGAACTGTTTCAGTACAATCCATTTATTTCCTGAAAATTTCAGTACTCAGCATGATTTGAAAAAATACATACAAAACTATTATTTGCCTCGTAAGAAAAGAACTATAGATGTTTATCCGAATTATATATTCCACTTATTTAGAAAAATATCGAAAGAACCGGTGAAACTTGAAAAGATAATTTTATCCAGTTCAGACAGCGATGAAGAGGATTTGGGTTTCGGTCTATTTGATTAATTTTATGAAGTCACCTACTGTATGAACATCTTTGTTATTTCCATTTTGTAGCGTTCAAACAATTCTAATAAGAATACAACGTTTAGTAAATGGCTTATTTATTTGTTACCAATTAAAATTTTTATATATTTTTTATATATCATGTTTTTTCGTTAGCTAAGGCCTAAAATTGTTTATTCAATGTATTTTAATATAATTTTTATATTATGAGCTGAACGATGAATGTATTGATTTTACACTAATGTGTGATTTTTTTGATTTTTCTGTCTACACAATAATTAGTAGTCAAAATAATGCTTTCATTTTTAATTTAGCTACATTTCTTGGTAGAAGAGTGAATATTTTCCATCAACCGTTCGAGAAGTAAAAAAAATAGTCGGAAAAAACAAAAAAAAATGTGATTTTCACGCAAAATCAGTTTTGGTTTTGGGTGTAAGTATGCGTACTCTAAAAAAAATAACTATAGATAAGGATATAGTCTACTACCATTGAAACGGGTAGTGTCGGTAGCGTATGCAGGATTTTATTTCGCTAAGGGTTTTACCTGGGTAAATAATTTACATTATTTTTTTCTTATGTCTCAATCCGGGCTATAGGTACATAGATACCTGTTGATGTATTGCGTAGATCGTTTTCCAAACATTTAATACAATAGCTGTGCGCAAATATTACACAGGTTGGTGCAAAATGTACATAGTCTCTGGCTCTGTATATATATCGTATATCAGTGGCGTATATACGAATTATTTTCACTATGGGCCAATTTATCAGTTATCACTAGTCAAGAATAGCACGACTAACATAGCCATAACTTTACATTTTTTAGGGAGCTGGGTTATAACTATGACATATACAGTACAAATAAAAATTACACATTTAATTATTAAGTAAAATTAATTTTTTGAATCTTTTTTAAAAAATAATGAAAGTTTCATTTATATATTTTAATGTCATCTTATTATGAATTTAACATCAAAGTCAATTATAAGTCATCAAAGCAAGTCCTGACCATCTAACATTTCCTTGTTGATTCTTCAAAAACGATTTTAATCAACCGGCTAACTTAATAATGGTGAAAAACTGTAAACAGTGTAGATATACATGCAATGCTTTAATTGAACCTGCAATTTCACTATGGGCTCTGGCCTAGGGGGCCTCCCCCTATATACGCCACTGTCGTATATTATATATTACCACTCTCGGTGCATCCACGTTCCATCAAGCGAACATCGGTCGCCACATTTCGCCATTTCTGTTTGACTTATGAGTCATATACTCATATGTGATGACAAACTCTGTAGAAATTCGTTCTTAGTATTAAAGACGTGTGGTGCGTTATAGTCAAAAGGATGAATATCAATGTTATATTTTCGTTTAACATGTGACAATAGATAAACAGTGCATGGTTTTATATACACAATTTTATTGTTTCGTGGTTTTAGATGGTCGTGAAAACATGCGCACTTGACAATTATCTATAGAAGTGAGTGTCGAATACAAACACTGTAGACTGTAGTATAGAGTTCAGTTACCGGCCGAGGACGCTTCGTAGACGTTGGCGCCTTTGCCGTCGAAATTTTTCTTTGTTTACCCATCTATAAAGTATATAATTTATTATTACAGTGTGTTCAAGCTAAGAGGTGAATATCTCAGATGGGTGACATTGTATTGAAATGGGGTTTTCGCGAGGTGATGGAGAGCACTTAAATACATATTTTCAGACATAGGCGTGCGCACAGGGCGTGCCGGGCGTGCCCAGGCACGCCCCGAGATTTTCCAAGGGCCGAAGCGCCCTATGTCTCAAACATGCTTATCAGTACAGGAGAACTGGGGTATCACCAAGTCATCCTCATCCATGACAACAATACATAAAAAAGATTTGAGTTCATTTTTGGCATGTTTATGATGCATCCAATATTAAATCTTATTTTAAAAGTTAGCTCAGTACTTCAATCACCAAAACTAAATCTTTTGTTGGCAATTGATAATGTACGGTCTTTAACATTAAATTTTAAAAGTATGAGAAATGAAAATAAAGAATTTGAAAATATTTTTGAACAAGCAGTTGCTTTATGTAAAAAACATGGAATCCAGACGTTCTTCGTAAAAAAGTATCGACTCAAATTGATAACAAATCTAAATCTCAATTTTTTTTAAAAAATAAATTAGATGAAATGAAGATATCAGTTTATTATGAACTACTTGATGATTTATTATCGGCAATGGATTCAAGATTCAATCAAGAAACTTTGAGCTAAATTGAAGCTATTGCTAGTCTGCTACACATAGAAATAAAACCTGAAATTATTGTTGTTTATGGTACATCTAGTGAGTCCATTTATTTGTGGCTTGATTGGCTGAAAACTAACAATAGTATTTCTACCTACAGTTGTTTTTATAAAACCTTACAATTATTTACTATTATCCCAGTCACAAGTTGTACATGCGAACGAGTCTTTTCCAAAATGACAATTGTAAAATCAAAACTTAGAAGTACGATGAAACAGGAACGATTAGATTCGTTACAGTAAAATATGGGGTAACTTTGATAAATTTGTACCATTTTATTACAATTTTACTTTTTATTTTATGGGTAACTTCTGTAGTATTAACGATAAAATTCCAAAAATTAAATCTTAGTTATAGCTAATTATCCTCAATTGTTTAACATTTACATTTTTAAATTTCTGATGTTATCTTCTGAGATATTTTTATTCAATCTTTTTAAAATTGTGGCAACTTTGATACCAGCATTTCGTAATGTGTTATCAAAGTTACCCCAGTTTATGAAAAAAATATTAAATTGTCGTGGTACTATGGTGAATAAAAATATCATATTATCAAAGTTACCTCACGAAATCAAAGTTACCCCATTCTACGGTACTGTTACTATTCACCGAACAAGAGTTGACAAGTGGGATAAACTTGGATTCTGTCATCCATGAGTTCAACACCTTAGAAAATAGACATATGAATCTGTAAATATTATATACTAACCAGTAACCAATAATAATTAATATTGACTTGTTTCTGCTCTATTTTTTTCTATAATATCTATACTATACTCTGTCTATGTGTGTATAATATATAATTCAAATTTTCCACGGGCACGCCCCGAACTTAAACTCTGCGCACGCCTATGTTTTCAGACCAGTTTCAAATTTTTAGCTCACTCGGTACCCGCATGCGCAGTACGATTTACTTTTTTTTAAATGGAAACCCCAGTTTTTTCTGCAGGTTCGGGTAGAGTATTTTTTTTTTAAACATTTATTGTATAAAAAATTTTTTTCTATTTTCAAAACTGACAAAGTTAGAGTAAGTCAAAAATTTCATTTATGCATAATAACATGTGTTTAATGCAATTTGCATTTATAACCACTCGAAATATTAAAATAACTGCCAAATAAATGTTTAATGGGGGACGGAGTGGCCGAGCGGACCAAGGCGTCGGTTACGACTCGCACCGTCTCCGGTTCGAACTCGGCCACAGGTGGCATTTTTCTTCTGGCAGTCACGGTGTCCGGAGAAAGAGGCCGCAAGGAGACATCCCCCCCCCCCCCAGGGCATGGCAGATATCTACGGGTGCAAAATTCTGCCAAAACAAACACACGTAATTGAAAAAATAATCGAAAAAGAAATTTGTCATACAACTGTTCTTAAAGTCATATGCTGTAGTTTTAAGATCCACATGATATTTAAAAAATTCAATTGTTTTCTGGGTTTTTGGTATATCACAAAAAGTAAGTACCATAGGCAAAATGTGATTGCATCAAAAACTTATGCGTACCAAAATACACATTAAAAAAAAAATTTTAAAAAGTACGTTTTGGTTATTTTTATCGAGGTTCCCACAATGTTTTAAAAAATCAATTGTTTTCCGGTTATTTTGGTATAACTTCCTTAATAAAAAAGAGACAATTTTTTCAAACAATGTTCCAATTCAGTGCCTTAAAATCAGTGTTGGGTAAGTTATTTTTAAAAAGTAATTAAGTTACTTTATTCGTTACTCAAATAAAATTGTAATGAAATTACTTAACTTTTCAAATAGAAAAGCAACTCACTACTTTTTCGTCACAAAAAAAAAAAAAAATTTAATTTTTTGGCAATTATCTTCTGCAGGCAAATTGAACAAGCAAATTCTTTATTAAACCTGTATAGACGTATAGTTAATAGGATCGTATAAAACGTTAGTCTTCCACTCTTCCACACAAGCTATTCATAAGAAAAATATTTAAAGGAATCAAATTAACTAATAAATTTAATTAACTGTTTTCGTGTTTTGTACGGTGCAATTAGACATTTCTAATGTCAAAACAATTGAAAACTGAATTGTGGCGAGTTAAAATTAAATATATATACATATTAGATTGGTAAACATAATAATACCCTCGTTATACATATATTTATTTTTTCAATTCGCAATAGGAAGTAGGTAGGTACTTAATAATTTGAAACTGTAACGCGTTATTCTATAGAAATTACTTTTTAAAAGTAATTTACATTATACATTTTCATTACTTGGAAATAATTCTAATGAAATTAAGTAACGCGTTACTTTCGTTATGTTACTACCCAACACTATTTAAAATACACATTTAAAAAATAAAAAAAAATTGAAAAACGAGCTTGGGCCGTAAACTAGATTTGTTCCAAATGTCCCTCCTCATAAAATAGTTTTTACTGTGTTATACAATATCTTTAAGACTGAAACAACACATGCGGGTCCGACGTTCTATTGAACATTTCACTCTGTAGTTTGGTGTCACATATAATTTATATCTGCAGGAAAAATTAGACGATTCCATTATGTAAAATTAACGTCTTATACATTTTTACCAACTCAAAAGTGATTGTTTTTTAAATCCTAATTCATATTATAGGTGTATTATTATGTATTTTTAATACTATTCTGTTTGTATTATATATTGCCTAATAGGTACCTAATACGTAAACTAGGTATATCATATTAAGGAAAATTTAAATATTTTATATTTTTTTTGCAAAAGAAAACATTTTTAACCATACCAGAAGTAAAAAATTGATCATAGAGAGTCCTAAGTAGCTAATTGTGTTGAATGGGAAGGAAAACCTTAGTTTGGGAGTAGTACTTAAAGAAAAATCCTGGACCCAACTAGTATAAGAATTTTAATTACGGGAGCCAACTCACACCATAGATTAAAGAATAGTACTATTACACAAACTACATAGTACTCACACTACTATAATTTAAATACGCATGTCTACCAACGGTGCCAACGTCACTTGGTTTCCAGAAACCGGCTATTTTTTATGCACATACAAAGTTACATTTAAAAGTAAAAATCAAATCTTATAGAAGGTAAAGGTATTAATTGATAATTAGAACGTAATTGGAAAATACATTTTCATCAGTATATTTTATTTTCTTACATTTGATAACTTTGTATCGAAAATAATATCCGTAAAACAACAATATTTTACAAAGGTATAAAATATTAATAATCTGTTAAAAATTAAATAATTTAAATTCATTATTTTACAATAATCATGTCAAACAGCGGGTTATAAGTCTTCATTATATTTGTTTATTTATGTAAAAGATAATATAGGCGATACACCAAGCATTCGCGCTTTGTGATTCGCCTTGCATACATATATAAATATATATATCGATGATTATCAAAATAAAGATGTGCTGCACGCTGCCACTCGGGTATAATACATCAGCATTCAATTATTATCTTATTAAAATATATATATTACATATATAAATGCTTCTAGAATACAATTATTTATCATAATTAGTAATTACAAGTACTAGTACTTAATTGTAATTTGCTAGACGGGCGTAAAATAAATTTTAATTTCTTAAAATTGATAAATGGAATTTCTTTTGACCAAAGTTCATTAATCGAATCTAATGTTTTATCAGTTCTGCCAAATTGATACACTTCTGTTATACCAAACCAGTGCTATGTAAAAATTATTTTAACATAATTTTTCTCAGAGCATAAATTACATAATATATTTAATATAATACAAAATGAGTATTCAAAGTCATAATTTAAAGCACTCAAAGATTTCAGAAAACTTTCTTTAAAAAAATACAGGCCAATATCTAATTTAGTATAACAGTGTTATTTTCTTAATCGCTAATTGTGCATAGGCATTGAGATGGCAAAATAACAGATATTATCCTAAATATAGAACGACATTTAAATAGTTAATCAATTATGTACACATAATAGTATAATTTGAATGGATACCAGCACCTTATGATGATAATCAAAATATTACAATATGATAAAAATGGAACAATCGGTATGAGATACGGACAAAAAATTGGAGGGAAAAACAATAAGAATAAAGTAATTAATGGTAAATTTTTAAAATACGAACAAAAATATAATAAAATGATTCACATGGGAAATAAATTCAATAACTTAATAGTTACAACTATGTCGGGCAGTTATAATTCGATACGCCACATAGTATCGTTAAGCTATAATTCTTCTTTTAATAATGTGTAACGATTTTTAGACGGTGCCAATTTCTTAAAAGTAGATTCTGGTGGCATAGTCTGTTCAGCAGGTTGGTTATGACCATGGATTACTTCTATGGCAGAAATTTCCTGAGGACCCAAATGATATTCTCTATGTAATTTACCGGAGTACAGATCATCAATAAATGTTTTCAGATGCTCATGGTTTTTGTAATCGCTTTTTGCTGGGAACTGATACATGTGTTTGAAACTATCAATGACAACTACAGGTAAATCGGTATGTCGTTTCCCCAGGTGCTGCAATGGATGTGCAAACTTGACGCCGTCGGCCGTCAAAAAGTTAACGCGTTCTGAAACAATAAAAATTTAAGTTAACCCACAGTACTTACTATTATTATAATAAATTGTCAACACTTACGCTTCTCTTGTATTAAATATGTGCCAACAATTTCTTTGAACAGCTTAATGGACTCCAAATCATCAGGATGATAGAAAAATAGTAAAAATGGTAATCCTTCTTCTGTGATTTCTTCAGCATTCTCAAACGTTATTTCGCGTACTAACGGTAAGCAATTGTCTGTCGCCCATATATTTAGAGAATCATAATCGGCTGAATTTCCTCTGAAAGTATGATGTTCAGATTTGGGAGATGCCCGGTCCGGTCTGAATTCTATTATCGTTTCGTTGGGCGGATGCATAGCACGGAATGTTTCACTAGAAATTAAAACTTTTTAGTTGCATTGTTGATATTGAAATACAAAACGGATTAATAATATTTACCCAACTCCAGCATAAAAAAGACAATCATCTTTGAGATTTGTTGCCACTTTTCTAAATACTTGGTATTCTTGAGAATTTTTGTTTTCGAAGTATCCAATTACAACCCTTGACTTCACCTAGAGACAAAGATTAATGAAAAAAAAAAACAAGAGTAGATACTTATATTGTATATTTGTATGAGTAACGTTCAACTTACATCAGCCGCGGCAAACAAGCTGGACACTTCTTGTATCGGGTCTTCAAGCTGTTTTTGTACAAAAGACACAAATGCTTCAACTGATCGCTTACCCCTATATTCTCTTTTAGCTGGTTGTCCATTGATTAATACTTTTATGGTAGGATATTTAGTAATTTGAAATCTAGATGCAATGGAAGCTGAAAATAATTATTTACCATAAGTATAAAAGCTTTTAGCAGCTGTGATTGTATTTGTATTACAATTTTGTTTATTATTGTAATAATTTATTCTATACTACATACTCTATACATTTAATGGTCTTGGAACACCTGGGCATACAATAGTTGCACAACTACCATATGTGTTATATTATATTATGAAACTAATTTAATTACTAAATTATTTACCTAAAGGTGCTACATACAAAATAATTTTACCCCAACCTTCATTGTAACACAAGTTTTTCTTAAATGGGAAATCAACAACATTTGAATTTCTTGGGTTTAATTCATTAGCTAAGCAAATTACATTTTTCTAAATGTATATAAATGTATGCTCACAAGAATATAACAATGATATGAGAAATGTGGAAATTTGAAGTTTTAACATAATATACTGAAACTTAAAGAAGTTAATTTTCTAATTAAAAAAAACACTATTATCCTTGAACTTAAGACTTTTTTTTAAAGTCTTCATTTATTCTGTTAAGGATGTGAACCATACACGGAAAAAAAATATCAATTCCTATATTATTTGTTGTACATTTATAAATAAACTTAAAAGAAATCTCAAGATCAAATTAACAAATTTACTTGAAATTATAATAATAAACGAATAAAAATTTTTTTAATGAGTTGGACATATCATAAGCATAATTATAATCTAAACAAGGCACTTAATACTGGTTTTAAAATTATATGTATAGCTAAACACTTATCTTAATTGTAAGTGTTTTTGTGTCTAGTTAAAAGTATTACATTAAAATAAACATATAAAATATGATTTATCATAATGAATAATAAAATATACACATTTAAGAATACTTAGGAGAACGTCGTACCAGCATGTGTTGTCACTGTCCTACACACGTACGACATAGAACTGATATTTGACTAAATTTACCTATTATCAAAATTTAATGTAAGAACATTAAATTATTATTAACACATTATCTGTGTTCTCACATTGTTTTTTTGTGATATTTAAATTTTTAAGTGAGTTATGAGTACCTATGTAAAATATTAATATTTGAAAATGCTCATAATTCACTTAAGTTTGATAATAGGTCAATTCACTTTAATATCAAAACTAACAGCACACTATTGAAACTGGTGAACAAACATTTGCTATGTCATATGTGTGTAAGACTGAGACAACATATGCGGGTGAGACATCCTCTTAATAAGTATTAATAATATGTACAAAGAACATTTTATATTGTAATCAAACACTTTTAAATAGAAATATTTACAATGTTAAATAATATTAGGTATCAAATATGATATGAAATTAAAATTATACAGTGCATTTTTATATATTTCAAAATTTAATTTCTATTTAATTTTAATTTTGAGTGTAAATAACTGTTGTATGAAAAGGGAAAAGTTCGAATGAATGATATTAAATACTAACTGTATTATAAAACTAAGTACCTTAATTATATTCATAGCAAAACTTCTAAAACATATTATGTTTAGGATAAAATTAACATTTTTGAAGTTATCTTGAATTATGCACTGTTGCACACAATAAGAGAAAATTTATATATAGTAGATAGTAATATACTTAATAATTAACAATAGTATGTAATATGCATATTTAAATATGTGCATATATTAATTTTATAACTATTTTCTTGATAGTAAGTTACAGTTAAATTGTAAAGAGAAACAGAATAACATTTATAAAAATAAAATTAAGTTTTCTTGTCTTTAACAAAAAAGTAGTTTACAGTTTATAGGTACCAAGAACTAAATATATTTTTAGATACCTTTTAATAAAAAATTATTAATAATTTTAAAATTCAAAAAATCAATAATATTTAATTTAACATGATTTTAATTATTATTATAAGGATTTTCCACTAAAAACCTGGGTGGCCACCCATCCGGGAACTAGTGGCACTGGTCCGTGCTGAACTACAAGCCAGACACAACATGATTATTATTCATACAAATTACTAATATATACCAAAAAATAAAATAAATGTATTAACAACAATTTTAATTTTTTATAAGTAGATTATTATTATTATTCTGTTGTTAATAATTTTATCTTCGGTATTCAATACAAATTATATACAATTTAAACCATTTTATATTTTGAGCATAAAATAACTTAAAATGTCTTAAATAAGTTAGGTTAGATCCTAAATTAGAGAAATATTAAATATAATTACTTACTTTCAGTATCACAGTCTACTTTTCCCAACACAACTTTACCGGACTCTGGATAAAGTTCAGAAACTTTTGCAGCAGCTTCTTCAAAGATTGGAGTAAGAATACCACTAAACCGACACCAATCGGCATAGAAGTTTATTATAACTAACTCATTAGATGCTAAAACAAAAAAAAAAAATAATATTAATATAAATTACTGAAAAACATTAGACAATTTAGGTGTTACAGTAGTTAGTATTTGTTATCAATAAAAGACCAATTTAAGTTTTAACAATATGCAACTATAGTTGAGTACAAATACTATAGATGAACTCTGCAAAGTTCCTATGCTCATTTTGGAGATGAAAACAGAATGAACAACATCATACTTTATGGAAATATAGAATATTTGAATTTAAGAGTAAAATATGTGGTTTAAAGCAAAAATAAGGTTGGTTATTTTGAGTTTGCCTCCGGTAAGTGTATAGAAACATTTTGCAAAAATCGTAGTATCACTGAAAAATTAAAATATCATTAGAGCTGATATGAATACAATATATAGAAACAAATAACTCATAGACACCTACTCAAACCAGAAGTTAAGGCGTATAGTTATTATTTTTTTTTAGCAAATTCTTAATCAATTATGCACTGAATTAAAAGAAAATCAACAGATTTGTTAATAATTACCTAATGTCATGTCAACATTTTGGCTGTTGAGTTTTACAGCATTGCCGGTTACTGGATTGTAGAACAGATAGGCCTAAAAGCAACAATCTGTTAGATAATGTAATACATAGATCAAACAATAACATGCGACTTGGTCGGTATACTCACGGAAGAAAAAAACAACAGGAACAATTTATTAGCGAATATCCTCCAGTAATTTTGATTCATGGTATTTTGAAAACTATGCTCGAGGTAACATTAGGGTATGAATAGCTGGTTGGAAGAGAAAATAATCTTTTATTTCTTTTGCAAGAGAAAACGAGCAACTTTTTGTGGACCGTGGAGATGACAACAACGAGTGTTCGACGGTGAACTATTTAAAAGTACTAAGGACTGTGAATTTATGAATAATAATATGTTTTAGCAATTTTACATTTACCATTAGGGACATCATTTGAAGATATCACTAAACGTCAAAACCTATTACGACGTCATCCGGCGAATGTTCGGTGATTACGACACGTCGATTTATTCCATGATACTGATAACGAAACCTTGGAGAACAAAACGCGAAAATCTTTAATATCTTAAATCGGATCACTACCTTTTGTTCCACAAAATAGTTATTCCAAAGTCAATTTGTTCAATTATTTGTTCCAACGACTAATTGTTCCACAATCCATTAAGTCACGAAAGCCAAGAATTCCAATATTTTTTTGTTTAAAGAATCATTGTTCCAAACTGTGTTTTATCAATGTTGCTTTACTCCAAATCTAATTTGTTCCAATGTATTTTTATCACGCTATTATATTTTCCAAGTTTGGAACAAATGTTTATACTTTAATGGAACAACTATTATTTGAAAATTGAAATATTCGGAACAAGTGCACTTTACCACCTAATGCAAATTTTTAGATTTTTTTTTTTGGAACTTACTTTTATTAACTATTTAAGAATAATGGTGCAATCAGAATTTGTCGTTCGGACTTAGTTTCAAAGTTATGTCCTATGGAAGTTCTAAAATTTGCGTTTTTTAAGCATTCTCAATACGCTATAATTTACCATGCTATTCATATTTTAGATTCTGAGTGAAACGATGAATGTATTGATTTTACAATGATGTGTGTTTTTTTATTTTTGTGTCTGTGTACACGATAAGTAGTCGAAATAATGCTTCGATTTTCGACTTCAGTATCTTGTTAGATTGGAAAGTGAATATCGTTGGTGCATTGGGGAGGTCAAAATTTAAAATTCCCAATAATTTTCACAAGCGCCAGGAAAAACAACATAAAAATTAAGGAAAAACGGGAATTTTTACGCAAAATCGGTTTTTGACAAATTCGAATTTGGTTTTTGGTGTAACTTCTAAACAAATGGCCGTAGATACATGAAATTTTCACTGGTTGTTTATATTTGCATTTTCTATACACGATAACATTTTCAATATATTTTGATTTATTTTGAACTGTTTAGGGACATTTTCATTTTTCATTTTTTAGATTCTGAGTGAAACGATGAATGTATTGATTTTACAATGATGTGTGTTTTTTTTTTATTTTTTTTTTTAATTTTTTAATTTATTTTTTTTGTGTCTGTGTACACGATAAGTAGTCGAAATAATGCTTCGATTTTCAACTTCAGTATCTTGTTCGATTGGAAAGTGAATATCGTTGGTGCATTGGGGAGGTCAAAATTTAAATTTCCCAGTAGTTTTCAAAAGCGCCGGGAAAAACAAAATAAAAATTAAGGAAAAACGGGAATTTTTACGCAAAATCGGTTTTCCAAAAAATCGATTTTGGTTTTTGGTGTAACTTTAAAACAAGTAACCGTAGATACATGAAATTTTCAGTGGTTGTTTATATTTGCATTTTCTATACACGATAACATTTTCAAAATATTTTGATTTATTTTGAACTGTTTAGGGACATTTTAAGTTTCCAATTTTATTAGTTTTTTTTTTTATGAATATCAATAAAAATTTATTTGTTGAGTAAAAATACTTGAAAATTTAATACAAGGCTCCTACTATATTGTTTCAAAGACAGATGAAAAATATTAAAAATCGTTAGTCACAGTTTTTTTTTTCAAGCATTTAAAGTTCAAAAAATGACAAAATATGGAAAAATCACGAAAATTTGCAAATTATTTCGAGTTAGAAATTCATAAAAATTTTTCTTTTTAAATCTAAGATATAAAAATGTAATACAAGATTCCTTATAAGATTTCCTACATTTATCAAAAAAAAAATTCTATAAGAAAGTCAAATTAAATTTTTATGAGCGTTTGAAATTCAAATTTTTACAACATTGGATATTCACTCGATTTCTCATGTGGCGATTTCCTTATTTTGTTGTAATTCAAAAACGAATTACTGTATATACATGAAAATTTCACTGAATGTTTATATTAGCATTTCCTATGCACCATACAATTTTGAAAATATTTTGACTCTTTTTGAGCCGTTTACGAACATTTTCAGTTTTAAATTTTTTTAGTTTTTTTTTCTATAAATATTAATAAAGTTTTATCTGTTGGGCCAAAAAGTGTGAAAAATTAATACAAGGCTCCTGATATATTGTTACAATAGCAATTGAAAAATATTAAAAATACATAGGCACAATTTTTTTTTATAAGCATTTAAAGATCGCATTTTGACAAAATTTATCAAAATCTCGAAAATTATCAACCATCGTACCTAATTAATAAATTATAAAATGTTCAGTTTTTATAGCTAAAGATTGAAAATTTAAAAAAAAGATTCTCATAAATAGTTCATACTGTAGCCAAAAAATCTAAAAAATATATGAGCACAGTTATTTTTTACAGACATTTTAAGTTCAAATTTGGGACGAAATTACACATAAAAAAACCTAGTTATTTTGTTGTGATTATATAATATTATTCATGGGTACCTACTTGAAACTTCTAAAGTTTACTATAATATATCAATGATAGTATCAGGATTTGTTATTGATGTTGATGTATAACGTGTTATAAGTACCTAAGGATATTGTGATAATGTGATATGATTAATTTGGAATTTATTATAGGTCAATTTTTTTTTAATACCATAGATATGTATATAATTTGTCTTAAACCTAGACTGACATACCGTCTTCGCTCAGAATCGTTTTTCTTATACAATGATATTGTATCATTGAATTCAAATTTAATACCATCCATTATACAGTGACCCACTTGTAACCTACAGTACAGCAGAGCGACATCCACTTACCCACCTTTTTTTTTCTGTTTTGGTAGGTACTTACGTATTCTAACCTGTTTAAAACGATGCTGCAATCAGAATTTGTCAATCGAACTTAGTTTTGAAGTAGGTTATTACTTATTAATTGGTTTTTGGAATTTGCGAATTTGTGTTTTTTTTGTATACCCACAACGGGAACAATTGCAGTTTAGCTACCAAGCGAACATTTGAAATTTTTTTTTTTTGGAACATATGTAATTCAACTAGTTAAGGACGATGGCGCAAAAAAATTTAAGCAAACATTTAGTTTTTGAGTTATAACGGTTTGAAATTCGAAAATTCCCAAATTTTTTTGTTTATTTTGAATTTTTTTTGGTAGGGGACTTCTGTATATTGACTATTTTAAAACGATGGTGCGATCAGAATTTGTCGATCGAACTTAGTTTCAAAGTTATAGCGTTTTGGAGTTAACGATTTTGGATTTTTTTAAAAAATTAATTTTTGTTTAACCAAGTTACCGAGCGGGGCCGTGCTCTCTTGGACAATTAAAAACGAAAATATCCCTCGATTTGCTATGCAACACCTCCCCAAGTGAGCCACAGGGTTAAAAAAAAAAGTAACAACAACAATCTAGGCTTAAATATAAGTAATAGGTACTCATTAATAATTTAATAATTATAATAAGTCTCACGAATAAAAAAAAAAAATCGCGAAAGACGCCGTGACAATGTAGGTATGCGCTCATGCGTAAAAAAACGCAAAATAGCTTACTTCCAAGGGCCATAACTTCGAAACTATATCCGACCAACAAATTCTGATTGCACCATTATTCTTAAATAATTAATATAAGAAAGTTCCAAAAAAAAAAAACCAAAAATATGCATGGGGTGGTAAAGTGCACTTTAGCCAGAGTGGAAGTTGCATGTTTATGATTCCAGATTTATATGTTGTGTTCTATGTTTCATTTATAAGTACAGATCGTATTTATATGGATATATGGTAAGTTATTAAATGTTGAATAATTTTAATGTCCTGTATTTCTATATTAAATTGTATATTTCATATATTATAATTTATAGGTTTAGTTTTGGCACAATATTGGTTATCAAAGCTATATCTCTGATGGAGAATATTGGAGTTAAAATTGATGGAGTAGTTTCAGATGGGGCATCAACCAATCGTAAACTTTGGTCAGAACTTGGTTTAAGCAGAAATAAAAATGAATTAACCGAATCGCGGAAAAAAAAGTCCCGGAAAAAAAGTCCCACACTAGGAAAAAAAAGTCCCTATAAAAAATAATGTAAATATATCAAAACTGTAGTATAAATATGTTAAAGTTGCATTGAAAAATATATTAAAGTTACACAATGTTATGGTATAAATATGTATAGATAACTATAGAAAACTAATGAAGTTACGTAGGTAGGTATTCAATTCTTATAAATTATAACTCAATAAATGAACACTTAGTTTTAGTACCCTTAGGTTTGGAGGGTCATATGAAAATGTCTGAAATATATAAAGATAATGCGAATGACCAAAATTAGTGGAAGGCGAGGACAAGGGTGGACCAACCCCAAATAGTTGGGGGGGGGAAGGCGAAGTGAAAGAAGAGTTAATCAAAAGAAGTGTTGACCAGTAATAGTTGCATCCAACGGCTGTTATCGGGATTTTAAAAATGTACCAGTTGCCCTTACATGTTAATATATACACTAATACAAAATATAGCTTGTAAAATAGGAGTGGCAAATATACAAATATTTTGGTGTTTGCAATATTACATATTAAAAATGCACTTAATAAAAAAGAATAGTAAACAATGATAGAAAACAATTCATATAGGTAGGTACTTACTACTTGCAATTATTATATTATATAATATTGTAAAATCCTCGATTTACACCAATTTATTAAGCTATTATTATTATACTATTTTACTTTGTTTTTATGTAGGCTATCTAAAGGTTATTTTTTTAAAGCTACACCAAAGAACAAAATCGATTTTTTCAAAAGCTGGTTTTGT